ACGTAAACATAGGTCAGGCACAATTTTTTGTCAACCCGTTTGCACTGTTTACACTTAGAGGGAAGCTTCAAAAACACTAAGTTATAAAGTATGTGATAAGCGGGAAGCATACACAAGCAGCGATATTAATCTCAAATCAATATAATTTGCTCGCTTGAATTAAAGTTTCCTTTCGCTTTTCATCACTTACCGAAAGGCCATCAGAATCGAATTGTAAAATATCTGTTAGTACTCTTCAGGGGTTTAATGAAGCTAAGATCAAAAATTGATAAAAATAAGTGAAATATGGATTTATTTCGCCTTACTAAACTATTAACAAGGAGTACCATTTTCTCCTTAATCCTTATGAGTAGTTTGCGCGAAGCAATTTTATGCCATATGCCCATATTGCCCTAATGCAGTTTCTCTCTACTCTTCATTGGTTTTTTAACACAATATATATGCATATATATATATATATATATGAGACTCTTCCTCTCCGCTTGGTCTCTGATTGATTTTTGGTTATTTTGGTTGATTGAAAATATAAAACCGAATTAGAAGAGGTTTCGATGGCTATGTTGGAAATCGACTTTAATAAATGTTTCGAAGACTGAGGGAAACGCTCACAGAAGCGTATTGCGTCCGTGGATCCTTCAGTAACTTTGGAATAATATTGAAGAGTTTTTGTATTATGCAAAAAGTCTTACTACTTTTTGATCGCACTCTCATCGTTTTAACCGGCGTAGATGAGATGTTTGCTTTACTCAAATGCATATTTACTTATACAAATGTCTCAGATAGGTATCTAAGCCTAATGCAAAAATATACTTTTGTATCAACTGCGCGATTCAATTTGGAAAAATGACAAGACTCGACATTAACTAAATAATATTGAGAAAAATGTAAAAAACTGCAAAACGGTCTATCACAACTCTGTTATCGATCTAGGATTTAATGCAAATATAAATACATTACTTATTCATCTACGTTCGTTTACCTCTTGTAGATGTAGCAAACGTTTCTTACTACTCAAGGTTACGCTATTACGTTTTGTTTTTATTTTTTCACTTATGTGACAATTTTGACGTGATTTATTGGCGGATTTATTATTATATCGTATAACTTTTTATCGGCAAAATTATCTTAACACTCGTAAAACAATATAATTAGGCAAATGCGACCATTAGCTACCTTACACCAATTCATCTAATTCATCATTTTTGTGAAAATACATAAAAAATTTTACCTTTTTCTTATTCTAAAGGCGTACCCTTCGTGGAAACCGTCATATTTTATCCTTTCCATTTTTTCTCTGCCGTCGCCGTATAAAGGCGATTCTCATGACAATCCCTATATATGTGGTGGTGTCTAGAAAGTAGACCTATGTCATCAGAATTTCTTACAGTTAATTTTTATGCCTAATTGTTGTTATGGATCAATGTCAGAATTAGTTCATAAAAATTAGAACTTTTGCCAACGGATCTACTATTTCGTCGGAATGGTGCAAATTTGGTTCAGTTAATTTTTTAATCAAATTACAATAATGAACTAATTTTCATTATAAAACATTAACAGTCAGACCTTTTTGGCATATAAGGAATAAATTTTCTTGGGATGGAGTTGGATGCACTATTTAGACTACGTAATCCAATTACTGCAGAACAGACATAGACAGACGGTTATGCAGACGTGTGCACAAACTTAATTTGTGGTGTCGGGTTTAATAAAATAAGAAATATTTAGTAAAACAAATCTCGTAGGACCAAATATGGGTTTTTCGATCAGACTTGCATTGGTAAGCAAAAGGAATGCCTATATATTTGTGATTAACGTAACCCAATAATGTTTGTCAGTATTCACTCTCACGCACGCTCTATTTTTATATATTTTTATATATGCCTCCCTTTGAATGTTTTTTTTTTTTTTTCGGCTTTCTCTTAATCAGATTTCTCTTCCGTACGTTGTTGGCATGCTTTTTATATCAACAACTGCATGTCGTTGTTTTGCGTTTGGCTTTTCATTCTTTTTCTTTGTGGGACGTAACGAACGTAATAAGCTGTATTATTGTAAACTGCTCACTAAGCTTGAAGCTATAGGAGTTATATTCGTTTACATTGTATTATGTATGTGCGTGCATGCACTACTAAAATATACTCATACGAGTGTGTGCAAAAAGGTATGTTTACTGTTAACAAGCTAGGGTAAAAAGCCAATAAAGGATTATGGATTATCTGCTTAGCTCTTCTTATTTGGTTAATCTGTGTTATTTTCAACTATTTTTTTGTGGTATTCTCCTAAAAGAAAAACGGATGTATACGGCTACGACTATCTTAAACCACTCGTACTTACTTTCAGAAGTACGGAGAAGTGCGGAGACGATTGCTAAAATCTATTATATATATATATTTGAAGTTTATGAGTCGGTGCGTAGGCAGGGATCGAATTTGCTTTCGGGAAGTTGTTAAAGTGCTTACATAATGCAAAAATTTTGAAAACTTGAAAATGAAAAAAAAAAATTGTTCTGAACCAAACAAATGAAAGAAAGTAATCAAATATTTTCACCATCATATAAAAATCATGGAAAATGGAGCAGAGGGATTCATAAAAAAGTATGCCTCGATTATTCGCATTCCATTGTCAAGGGAACAAAAAATTATATATTTTTTGAGATACCCTTCTCCTTTCCCAAGTTAAGTGTGATATATGTGGGAAGCGCTTCACATTTTATGTGCAGTTGCAATTCGTTGTATGCTTGTATTTGTAGTCTACTAAAACGAATTATCTTGGTTTTTTATTTTTAAGTATTTTTTTTATGATTTTTTTTTATTTATTTTTTACTTATTTAATATTTCTTGTGAAAATTTTTTTACTTATTATGGTTGGGCGTATACGATCGCGTAGACGGCCGTTTTTCAATTTTCATCTGTGGATAACGTGTTAACAATTTATGTACCAGAGATGAGGTTAGGCCTTGCGATACCTGCACCTAAACCCTTTATCAGATAATAAATAGAAAATGGATAAACGGATCAGTATCCTTCCTATACGTTGAAAAACTCTTTACCAAAATTTTCAATTTGTCGCTCTTCTACGGGAAGACAAAACTAGTATACCCTTCAATTTGCATAGGTTTTTTGCATACCATCAGCATGCATTATTACTTTGTGGTTGATGGTCTATGTTGCATGCAATTTTAACATTACTAACATTGGCCGTTAAGTCGAAACGTTTTTAACTGTTTGCAATTAACAGGAGATAATAATTTTTGGTTCTTCTGTAAAGCAATTATAACCGCAATAAATGAACGGGAAATGTTTAATTGATAGAAATTTAACACTGGAGCTGGCAACGATGTGCGATGCGTATATTTCAACTTTAGAGCTTTAATAAAATGTTTATAAAGCATACAATGCATGAGAAAGATTTAATAATTTTTACTTACTTAATTAAATGAAACGATTGTCTGCAAGCCCAGTATAAAGCAGATCTTACTCGTTACTCTAACATGTTCCATTCACTATTTACGCTTTTGGAAGAGCGGGCATTCTATTTTATATCAGACCGTGGCATTTTAAAAATGTGTGAAAAAGATATGTAAACTGAAATAATTGTAGTGTGTTTAAAATAAGCTTTTTGTTAAGAAAAAACTTAAATGAGTGAAAAATTCGATTTTAAAGCTATCAATCGAAACGTGGAAATATGAATAGTTAAGTGATAGTTTATAATTGATGTTCCTTTTCATAGACAATTATCAACTTTTGCGGACGTGGAAAACATCATACCCCGAACATCGTCGTTTGAATGCTAGAAAGTTGACTTCAGAGAAAAACATATTCTTCAAATCGCGTTATAACTATTTTATTGATACTTTGGATGCACCATAGTAGTCTTTCATTTCACAAATCTGTTGCTATGACGAAGGTGTAGCCTAAAGGCTCAGGCAATGTGACCGAAAAGCCTCCCAAGCATCTAAATTACCTGACAATTTAGTGTTTCTATATACTATATACTCTTTGCGTTACAGTATATTAAGATTGAGCTTATATATCATAGAACGCTTTGAGGTAAACCCACATCGTATTATACTAAAAAACATGATTCAGAGTCGTGCTGACTGCTTATCTGTCTGCCTCTCTCCATATGTATTTCGATGAATTTAATACATTTTGACTGAAATGATTTCCGAATGGTACACCTTTTTTTATGTACCAAAAACGATACGTCTGTTAGTATTTTATGACGAAAGTCTGTGAAAGTGGTATCATATTAATGGATAGTGGGACTCCTTCTCTTATAAGAGCTCTTATAAATAAAAGCCTTTTTAAAGCAACAAAGTACATTTTCAGATATTTTATTAGAAAGATAGGCGAAGAAGGTCGGTTGACAAACCGACTTAGAAAGTTTTAACATGTTTGTGTAAGTTGAAAATAATGCTGTCTAATTTATTTATAGAAGAATGGTTCGAATGCGTCCCTATTTAAATTATTATATAACAAGATCGATAAATTGTTCTTGATCCACGCAAGATTTTGAATCAATTTATGCAAGTTCGTCTATCCGTTCGCAGATATCTGTCTGTCCATCCCGTAAATTGTCTTCACAACCCTCGGAAATTATTTTACTACTCAAATTTCTGTATTTCATCTAAACAGTCTGTGTAGGCCAGATCGAAATTGGTAACGAATTGGTTTTCAAAGATTTTCTCCAAAGCGGATATGCTCTCTATACTGCATCCGTCATTTTAGATCCAAAATTGAATTTTCCGGTTATTTTCGTGAAACTTTCTAGCCTTTATATTTCTATGATATCAATTAATCGGCATTTCGGCAGAGATGTGAAATATTGACATAGCTGGAACGCTTCAAAATCGAATGTTTATTTCAAAGCACCTATCAGACAGACTTTCTCGTATTGCACTTGTAAATAAATAAATTTTTCTTCAACGCTTTCCCTACTATATTAATAGCAGTTGAATGAAGCCTTTTATTGCTCAAAGCATGCCGGCATTAATGCCACTCTTCAAGTCTGAATTAAATTTATGAAAAAAACAAACACTTATTTCGATAAGACGGTGAGTGGCACTTCAGAAAAACAAAAGTACTTATTTCCCCCGAGGCATATAAAAGACGCAATGCATGGTTAAAAATGCTCAATCAATCGTGTAAACAACATGTCTGCAAGTTTGAAATCTCTTCTACTCGTTGCGGCTCTGGTAATATCTGCAGTGGCTTTACCCAGGCCACCTGTTTTGGGCGGCGAAGATGCTAAAGAAAAGCAATTTCCATATCAAGTTTCCATACAAGCCGAAGGTAGTCATTTTTGTGGGGGATCTATACTCAACGAACGTTATATTTTAACAGCCGCCCATTGCATGTACGGTGCAACTGACGACGAAGAGTAAGACTTTATAACTTTAAAAATTCTATCTTCTAAGTTATATGGTTTTAGATTGGCGGCATCCTTACTAGTACGTGCTGGCAGTCTAGATAGGTCAGAGGGTGGTGATTTATTAAAAGTGAAACGCGTAGTAGTTCATGATGACAATGCCTATTTTAAAAATGATGTGGCGTTATTAGAACTTGATGAACCATTGAAGTTCTCTGATCACATTCAACCAATAGAAATGTCGAAAGACGAAGTACTATCTGGTGCAGAGGTTATCGTGTCTGGTTGGGGTCTTGCCAATAACTCCGTTCATCCCACACATTTACAATGGACTACTTTAAAGGCTCTGTCGAGGACAGAGTGCAGTCAATTCCTATCCGAAGCAACCTATAAGCTTGATAATATGATTTGCTTGGCTCATAAGGACGATCAAGGAGTATGCAAGGGTGACTCAGGGGGTGCCGGTGTCTATAATGGCAAACTGGTAGGTGTCGCTAGTTTTGTTGTAAACAGCTGTAATTCTTCATCACCCAATGGCTACGCTAGGGTTTCAATACATTATGATTGGATTGTAAGTAATATGAAAAATTGATTAACAATGAAATAAATATATGAAATAAAATTAATACAGTGCATCAAATGAACAATTACAATTACATATCATATGTGTGTATATGTATATATAAATAATCAAATTCAGGATATATCATATTAAACTTGTTAACTTCTGTGTGTTAAAGCAGAAACAGCTTATTTAAGTCTTCCATAATATGTAGCGGCTCAGATGTATTATTAATATTAGTACGTAATGGAAAGTAAAATAAATAAATAAAATATCTTTGGCTAAAAGTAAATGATCAACTCAAATAAATGGGTAAAGTCTTGAATATTTTGCCAACTGAAAATTGGTCCCTTAAATTTGTACTCAAATATTTTAGGGTATATTGAATCTTCAGGAGGCCAAAGCTTCTTGCATTCGCTTTATTTATTCAATTCACGTTAGGGATAGAGTAAAACTATTTATATTATTAGATCCACACTCGAATGAACGAGTGTATATTAATTTTCTTATTGTACATCGAGAGATACGTTTTAACGGACTGAACCGCATATTATTGTTGCAAACCTGCCATCTTTTCCGTTTTCACCTTTGTAGTACATGTGATGTAGGGTATAGGAATTCAAAGCATGCCTGAGCTTCGTAGAATAAATGAACGTAGAACCGTAGAGACTGATAAGGGATAAATGTAATTAAAATATACTTTAATAGAACTCGAAATTTCATATCAAGTAAAGGTTGACTATTAAGTACGCTACACCTGATATAGTTCTTCACTTAAATTTCACTGCATTCCAATTTTAATATTTTATGATGAAGCTTAGCCATATGTTATTGAAAAGTAAGCTTTCCATAAGAATCCTTTTAAGAGGACACTATCAAACATGCTTATTGTTTTATAACCAAGTGTATACAGAAGAAATTTGAAAAGATGGTGGAAACATTAAAAGTGGTCAATTTTTCCCGTCTAACCATTACGTCCAAAATTCATATGTAACTAAAATGGTGCCTGTAAGCAAACGGTGCCTTTTGCAAGATCGTACCTGTTGCAATACTTCCCTTCGGATATGATAGTGTAAAGCGAAGTATCAATGTACACAACGATGAAATTCAGCAAAATAACAATTTTCTCTTGAGTGTTATTGAGTTATTCAGTGTATACAGACGCTAGTCATTGAATCCTCAAAATTGCGCTTTCGACATCCATTACTTTTCTTATTTGATTTCAAGAAATCTGGTGCATCAAACAATTTTAGAAGCTTATCGGGATGCTGTTTCGCCATATTCCATAATTGTCGCTTTTGATTTTAACCGTTTAAAAGTGGTGACCATAAAGACAATGAATTGCAAGGCTTATTGGACGAAAACCTAGCTACAATTCTGAAAGAACTTTGGAACAGCTTATCAGTTGACGAAACAACTGTTTCTAGATGCACATACATACGATCCAAAAAAAAGATCCAAAAGGAGGAAGAAGGCAAACATACGAATTGACTGCATATGCCATTTTCAACATCACGGTTTCATGGCTTTGGAGGCGTATTGTGATGGTGTGGCGAAAGGTGGATCTGCCGCGATAATCCCAAGCGCGAAAAGTCATGGAGCCAATAGATTCATTCACAACAACACCGAAACTGTACATTAAAACTGTACATAAAATTGTTACTGCATATGTCTACCGATGTTAATTGAACAAATTAAATGATGTGTTGTTGCGAAAAAGACAAGCAACAGCGTCTACCATACGCAAAGTCATTCTCTTACACGGACAATGCGCGACCACAAGTTGCAAGAGTTGTCAAGGATACATTGGTGCAATTTGAATGAGAAGTTTTGCCGCATCCACTGTACTCATGAGGCATAGGGCCTGCTGATTACTACCGGTTCCTATCGATGCAGCGTAGCTTGGCTAGCACACGGTTTCGAAATGCTGAAGAAATGCAAAATTGGGTCGATGCGCGCTACCATACGATGGATCGCTACCAAACCACACAGTTCTTCTTACGGCACGGTATCGTCATGTTGTCAGAAAGATTGGAAAAATTTATAGGAAATGATGGAAAATATTTCGATTAACATACATTATAGCAATTTTTCTCAATTAATGCCTCCTTCAAGTGAAAAATTGATCGAAATACATGCAAGCATATAAAAATATATAATATATCTAATAATGGGTAGGAACAACGATTGGATGTACGATTCGTCTTTGCGAAATACCACAACGGCTTCTTTCGATTGCCCTCTCAAATGAAGAACTACAATTCCCAAAATATTTAACGGACCTTTAAGTACGAACCTTTAGGTACGCTATTAGTAATGTTTACAGTATATTTCGTCCGATGTACAATACGTAGAATATTAGAGGTTTTAATGTAAACATTGTTTTGCACCTATGGCCTTGAATATATATCAAAATTCGAATATAAAGCATAAATGCCTTTGTTATAACATTTTCTTCAAATGTATTAAAATAGAAAAAAAACATAGTTTGTCTTATCTTATTTGAAGACTTTTAAACAGCAGTGCACTCACGACTTTGATAAAGAGAGCCATAAATTATAAAATATTTTGCAACCGATATTGTGTAAAATGAAGAGTTGAGAAAAATTAAGAATATTATCAACGAGTATTGGAGTGCACAAGAATTGGTCTTATCTTGTGCTTATTGAAGAATTACAAACAGTTTTATTTTAAAGCCCTTATCGATCGAATTGGTTTGCTAATAGAATAGAGTATACAAAAGAAAATATTTAGCGAATTAAGATTCGCCACGAATGACAGCCGTATATATAGTACCTTTAATTATCAAGTTATCAAGATGATTGCCATTACAGGGAAAGGTGATCTGGTCTTATCCTTAATTGTTCTTGGCATTTTATGCAGCAACTGTCGTTTCACCTATGGCAAAGTAAATACAGTATCTAAAATTATTAATGGTGGGGAGGCGCACATGGTAGATTACCCGTGGGTAGTTTCAGTGCGTGTCGATAATATTCACGCTTGTGTAGGTAGCATTGTTACTGAACAGCATGTGATTACTGCAGGTCACTGTGTGCAATATGTCAAATCGATTCCGTAAGCTATTGCACTTAAAAATTATTTAAACATTCATTATTAATATTAATTTTGTTCTTATTCAGCATTGATCTTGACCGTGTAAGTGTACGCGTAGGTAGTACTAATCAATATTCGGGTGGTAAAGTGCTTGATGTGTCTTCAATTGTTATCCACAGCGAATGCGAAAACTTTTTACATGACATGGCGATTTTAAAGTTGAGCGAAAGCTTGGAATTCGGCCCAAAAATTAACAAAATCGAGGTGGCCGAGAGAGACAGTGAAGTCGAATCAGGTACACCAGTTATTGTTGCCGGTTGGGGTCTCAATGCCAACGGTACACATTCTGCCAAACTTCAGTATTTAAATATGACTGCTATAAGTAATGAAGAATGTGATGAACAAGTGAACTATGGCTACGAGTCGATACTTTGTCTGCAACATCCTCTAGAGCAGGGTATATGCCGAGGTGATTACGGTGCTGGCATTGTGGCTGAAAACAAATTAATCGGCGTCGCCAGTTTTTCTTTCGGTTCTTGCGGTAGCCAATTTCCCGATATTTCTAGTCGAATTTCTTATTACAGTGATTGGATTAACGCTTGGCTCCCCTGAATGCTCTCTTCATAAATTTTATAAATGAAACTTGCTAAGCATTGAAAATTCAATAAAATATTTTCATTGACAATAATACTTGGTCTTATTAATATTGTTTAATTAATTAATTCAACAAATATATCCTAGTCTCGAATGTCTAATTATAATTTTCAAAATCTGTTTTCACAAAATGAAGTGAACTTTTCAGGTCTATTTCATTAAGTATATCACGTTTCTATCAACGAAAATCAACGTGTAATGGATGTATTATTCTGGCATCGGCTTACCCCTTTCGTATCGACACACGATACTCTCGTGTGATGAATTGACAGCACTCGATTGCATTTGATTCGTAGTAAAATTTAATTCATTGAATGTTCAACGAATTACTCGTAATATATTATCGGTGATATGTGAACAACAACCCAGACGAAAATAAATGCAGTGAAGTAAAAGCGAAACAGAAAACCAAATAAATGTATTTTAATTAATTAATATATAAATTGAAGCAATTAAAATATCAACGTATGTTTATCATGTAGGATAAAATTTACAAACTTTTGTGGTGTTTTACACAACATTTTCTCCACATGATAGTAGCCACTAGCTCTATACATGGTACCTCAGAGGTATTTTATGCCGAAAAAACCAGTAAGAAAATTATGCTTAGCTGTCGTCGAATCTTCTATACCCATCATCTTTATTTTCAAAAAAACAAAAAAATTGCAGTACCTACTACGACAATAAGCGACACTATAATGTTCAAGCATTGCCGATGCCATATCTAGGTAAGGTACCTTGGTACCAGTTAATATCTGGTATTCAACTAAGGGTTAACAAGCTTTGGCGGGCTACCATCCTTTTACTGTTCTCCCACTTCATAATGCTTAAGACCTCGGGATGGCGCCCATATATACCTTTTCTTTCCTTTCTCTTCTATCGTTTCCTTCCATTAATAATTTTTAGTGAATAATTTAAGACAGATCCTACTTAATTAGCACACTCTCTCTTATAATTAACAACACGTAACACGTTTTATTTAGTTGAATATTAAATTCGCAGCTGAATTGAAAATTGGAAGAAATAATAATTTTGGAGGTATGGCTCTAAATCGATTTGCCCCAGTTTCAACACCGAACTGCCTTAAAAAGCTTTCAATCTCCTCATCAAATTTAAAAGAACTGTTTGCGGTCACGAAAATGTTATCACAAAAGTTAAAAAAACGAACAGACGGACGGGTTAAGACGGATCCAGAGTTTGATTCTAACCAGGAATAATGAACTATGCGGGATTTCTGAAATTCTCTTCTGTGCACTGCGAGTATATTGAAAAAAAGTTTCCTCAAAAGGAAACTGCAACTATCTTACAAAGTATATCCATATATTCCTTACCAATATCGAATTCTGGATCGACTTAACCGTGTCGGTCTGCCCGTCTGTGGTAAACATTCTTTTGGTTGCAGAAACCACCTGCAAGTGTGACAAAAACATTGAAAGATCTGGCACGCAGGTTGATAAATAGCATACCCACAGTATAGCATAAATTGAGAATATGTATGTTTTCAAACGCAAAAAAAATTTGGTTAGGTTAAGCTATGAAATTTTCAAATTTTTCGTTTTTTTTTTGAAGATTTTTTTTTAAGGTATGGGTAAGGGTAAACAAGGTGAATATAGAGGCATATAATTTTATAACTTATGTTTCGGAAATTTTCAATATCGATATTTCGATTCGATATTTCGTACACTTCCGGGTACCCGGTCACTCTAAAGTTTCCTACACACCTGGAATTGCAATCACAATACAATGCAGAGCAGCTATTTTTGCTGTGTATGCAGAATGACGGTATAACTTCCTTTTACCTATCTGCGCAACAAGGGTGACAAACGAATGGCCTTGAAAAATGGAACGCATAAAGATACATGGCTGATACGGACCCCGCGACGAAATAAGCTGTTTTTTTTGTCAACAATCCTCCTCGCTTAAGAGGGTTGCCAGAGTTTGCAGAGCAGAACAGTAAATATAGTATCGCAGAAAGCTAAAAATAAATATTTAAAAAAGTTTTTTTAAATAAACTAAAAAAATTTTTTTAAATAAACATTCATTTAAACAAACTAAAACGTGGAAAAAAAATTATTTCGCACTGTACGTTTTTATCCATAAAAGTATAGGGCGTTTAAAAAAAATCGATGTATACAAAAAGGCCACTCCTCCACCGTTAAAGGGATATCTCTGCAAATAATTTTCGAAAAATTACCACGAGATCATAAGCTAGTGGTTAGGATGTTCGTCTGCAAGGCAGATCTCATTCATGTTCGCTCGCTGGTGCCTAAGAAGATGAAATACGCTTGTATTTTCCATCACCCTAAACAAAATGTAAAATGTTTATTTATTTTTTTTCACTTTTCCACAGTTTCGAATTCTTCGGAATAAATATTTCTTTCGTTATAAGGAAAAGAATCATTCTGTGAGTGTTCATTAGCATGAATAATGGAATCGGTTGACATATGATTTTGATATGACCGCTACGGTAGTGACATGAAAGCTTTCTCTAGAAGAATACATTTCGCTTTAATTTTTAATTTTCTCCCTTGCCCCTGATGAGTCAAGTTCGATTACGAGCAAAATCGTCCGCTGGATCCGTCGAAAATAACCAAGCAATTCTATACACACCGCTTTTCCAAATTTATGGCCCCAAATCTTAAAGATTTAAATCGACGTAAATTTTGAACACTAGATAAAAATCGGGCTAGGGATACCTCCCTAATTAGAGAATAGATCGACCATTCATCGTCTTACCGAGTACAGTTATTCAATCGTTCTGGTAACAATGTATCAAAAATTACGCGTTATTTGTATACAAAGACGTACTTCTCATGAAAGCCCGCAATCAGACTTTCTCTCCATATAAGGGCTCGCTTTGGATGATAACTCCTATATGTGTTAGAGTCTAAGAAATGGACTTATGTGATCAAAATCCCTTTTTTCGTACTAATTAGTTTTTTAAATTGCTAGTATGAGCCCAATTTTTATTAAAAAATCTTAAAGATTAAACCTTTTTCTTAAGGGCTTACTGTCATGAGAAATCTTATTTATAGTGGAGTCCAATAAATAGATCTATGTAAAATTGCAATTTTTTTCCTTATTTGGAAAAGTCGTTTTGCGGGGAGTTGTCGAAAAAATGCACCGATCCGATCTATTGTCAACGGCGTTCGTCTTTGCGTCAATCCAAGTTGGTATATTACATGTCATAGTAGAAAAGGGCGACCTGTAGGTTGGACACAAAAATACATGAATAGACCTCATGCGGACAGATAAAAAACGGGCCTATCCAGGCAAGCCCTTCTGGGTGTTGCATGCATCCGCACAAACTTAATTTACCCGTCGTTTAGGTTATAAAAACTTTGGAAAATATTTTTACGGAGCTTGGAAATACGTAAACGATGGTTTTTCCGCAAAGGAGTATACCGATCCATACTTCCCTGTAAACGCTTTCAAAACTTAATGGATTGAACTAAGAGTTGTTCCTTCAATGTGTAGTTGTGTAATTAGAACGGTTCCTTGCTCCGGGCGAAGTAACTTTTATCGAGCCATCGGCGAACATGTCGGTGGCATTCAATTATTAGATAATCCTTACAATGATTTTATCAAGCTTTTTGGGTAACTATATTGAAAGCTGAAGTCATTACGAAAACAATTGGAAATGTTCAGACCGCATGAAACAAGATGCGGTTCTGTTTTGTAAAACGTTAATAAGTAAATCGTAAGTCTTCTGGTTTTGTGATGTTGCGCCTTACAAAGCTTCGTTTTTTCGCAATCCGGCATCTCGATAAGTCGATTTAGTTGAAGTTTCCTACGTTTTTCAATAAAAGTCGAGAGATCTCTTCTCTCGAATTAGTTAGTCTAACACCCTGTTTATTATATATATTATTGCTCTTTAAAATGAATAGACGTAGAAGAACTAAGAACGATAGATAAGATAGCAGTCACTATAATTCATTAGCGTATCGTTTAATTATAAACATTAAGCCAAGGCCGTAAAAGAATACTTGTGCAAAATTTGCGTTTAAGTACAATTGAGTAATCATAAAATTCAGTTAACATTTAAACATTATGCCATCAATAGATTTCATTCGCTTATTTTGCCATATTATTCTGATCTATGCGCACTATGGTCAGTCTGAATTAAGAATTTTGAACGGTGAAGAGGCACATAAACGAGACTTTCCATATATGGTTTCCGTGCGTCGAGATCAATCTCCTATATGTGGTGGCAATATTATAAGTGATACAGTTATTTTGACGGCTGCTCATTGCGTTCAAGAAAATAATGTTACGTGAGTTACTGAAAAGTATATACATATATACATACACCCGTGCACAGTTATACGCTTTTGAATTCCCTCCATAATCCACACGTTTCTTTCAATTGTTCCAGTGTTTCACCAAATCGCCTGAATGTGCGTGTGGGTAGTAGCAATATTCTAGCTGGAGGTGACATAAAGCCTATTAAATCAGTTGTTATACATCCTGATTATGATTTGGATTTTAAAAATAATTTGGCATTACTTTTATTACAAAGTCCGCTGGAATGGTCACAGCATACATCAAGCATATCTTTCGCCAAAGATATTATTGAAATACCGAGCCCTGGAAGCGAAGTCCGTACAGCTGGCTGGGGTAAACAATCAGATAACAGTTCGCCAGTCAAGCTTCACAGTGACCTTTTCGTAGTGGCATCCTATGAACAATGCACCGCAGCATATAGCGCCAATGACGAATCCATTATGTGTTTAAATCATGAGCTAAAAAAGGGCAATTGCTATGGAGATGCTGGTAATGGTGCTGTTTACGGCGAAAAATTGGTCGCTATTGCCAATTTTGTGATTGGAGCTTGTGGTTCACGTTACCCGGACGTTTACACGAACTTAGTTCCGTTTGCTTCATGGTTAGATGACGTTATAAATGCAAATAAAGCTTTGAAATAAAAAACTAAAAAAAAAAGTAAAACAAATTACACAACCTATGACTACAGCGAATGCATGCCGATCTTTTCTTTACGCCTTTTATCAGTTTTTGCGTGCCCCAAACGGATGCAAAATTTTTTGATACCGCAAATATAGATTTTTTCTTAACGCCGCGTGTAAATCCTAAATGGGGGCGACACTTCGCTATAAAATTTGAGGAGAAGATCTGAGTGGTAAAGAGGGATTATTCTGGAGTATGAAAATGTTAGGTTGACGGCAAAGTTCTCTCGTTGAAGTTGAAGACGTTTGATGTTTTGCTCAGCAAACGAATCCTTGCAACTAGATAGGGTTTAGACGTGAGCTACTCTTCAACATAGACTACAAAATGTCATCATTGCTTACATCGACGAAGTGTCTTAAGAGTAAAATTTTTGGAAAGAAATTTGGCAAACCATCTTTGAAGGGGTGCCTTCACAACGTGTCATATAAGTTTTCGCAATTAAACACAATGCGTTACTTTCTTTCTGGAACGCATAGCATATGGCAATGTCTTAAATTCATTTTATCCCCTGTACTTTATTTTCCTTCGACACTTTTCAACTAACTGATGAAATGCGTATTGGGAGGAGTCCTCTTATATGCCTCGAGATATATGCTAACTAATAAGCGCTCACATGACGCATCCTACCTGGTTATCTTGAGTTCAAAAGTCGAGTCAACTGCAGGTAGTAAAATACGCCAGAAACATCCCGTCAATTTATTAATCTAACCGCACGTTGCTTAAAGGCTAGCAGATTTTTTTTAGCTATCGATTTTTGTAAATATCGAGTGATCAAGGCGAAATGTTTTTCGAGATCAAGTGATAAACATTAGTTATCAATTATCTTATTTTTGTTCTCTTTTTAATAAAAAAAATGTATAAATTCTTTAATGAGTTTTGTTTAAGTGTGACGTGATTTGTTCTTTTATTTATTTATTTTTTTTTTTTTTCTGTGAAATTGAAGTGAAAAACCAAAAAACTAAAAGCTTCATATAAAGCTTTTCGGCAATAAACGGCAGATTTTAAAACTGTGATGCTTTCTTCGATCGCTAACTACCATTTTGCTTCGATCCTTAAATAACGATTAACTGGTTAGGTTCTGTCGCTTAATACTAAAATAATAAAAGATTTATATAATCGCAATTATAATTGATTAGTGAAGGTCTTTATCAATAAAATTACAGTGTTCTATCCCTTTTTCCGTTCAATTGTAACAGATTTAACATATAAAGACGGAGCTTGGCATATATATGTACTTAATAGAATTTTACAAATAAAATGTGGAACTAGATTGGATCCGTGCGTACAATATAATTCTTACAAAAGCCATAAAATAATTTATAGAATATGTATTGTGTTGAGGGAAAAATCTCGCCAGTGCAAATAATTGCATCTGCTTCGCATCTCACTCTTCTAGCTGTAAAGTATATAAATAGTAATTTTTTAATTCGATTTGACACCATTGTATCATTCAGCATGAAATTATTAGCGGTTTCACTTCCCTCCGTCAAGTCCGCCCATTTTCATTATGCCTACATACGGCTGTCTTTCGAAGGCAGTAAACATTTAAAAACACATATATCCAAGCCTAAGCTCTGTGAAACGGAGGGTTGCTAAAAAATTGAAATAATCTCAAGAAATATAAAATATTTTACTGACTATTGAATAACAATCGCGTGGAAGGGGTGGCGGCTCAAGCCAAAAAGTTTGAATTAAAAAAATTCATTCGAAAATACACAATTTCAAGAAAATTCGTGGTATTCTTCAGTTCGAGTTTAAACTCGATGATAACCTATATCCTCTGTGGCTGAGTGTTGCGCGAAACGAGATATTTATTGAACACTATATAATGAATCTACTTCTATATGAACAATCATGGATACTGCAGTCCCTAATTTGCCTATTTGTTCCCGACACCCATAATTAGCAATTGTATGCCCATTTGTTATTCAGTCAGTATATATATCTTTTGAATTTCCATTAGCATTTAAGCACCACAAACAAGACAGTTCAAAAAAAGCAATTTATACGTTTTTGCTTATTTAAGCTTAAGTTATATCATAACAAGAATGTTCGCTTAGAGACTGTTTGTTACGCTAAGGTTGCGAAAAAATTCAACTGGGAAGGCAAACACAATTTTCATTTTGTTGAGATTCTTTGTGTTCGTTAAATAAACGTATCGCCATATTATCTTGTTACGTAAATGATTGCAAAGATGTTTTTTAATAAGCTTAAATAACCGAAAGTTGTGGCTATCCGTGAAAAAGCTCCTTCTGTCTTTGACGCCTTACGTGGAATACACACATGTATATTCACTGGTAAAGAAATACATTTTGGGAAATATGTTTTCTCTTTGTATTCTCCACTGAAGAAAGGCGGTATGTTCATTGTGCCAGACGTCTACAACGGTTAGAAGGAAACCTCAATCAATATTTTAAATCGAGATATGTCTATCTATGCACCTATGTTCGGTGAACACTCGCTGCTATCATTGGGATATCGGCTTCAAATTTGGCAAAAGTATTGAAAGGTTTTGCACGATGGTTGACATTAAAAATCGCCTAAACCGGCCAAAGGCCACGCTTATAATGTCACATGCTGATTTATAAATATCTCTGATTTGTAATATTTGCCTTATTACTCATAAACTACAGCAAATAGTACGACAACGATTTCCTCGCAAATCCTGTGGAGAAAAAAAGTCGAATTATTGTATTTTTATATAATATTTTATATTTTTTATTATGTTTATATATAATATTTTTTTTTTTGTATAGAGGATGATTAGAATGATTTGGGGATTATTTTTTTTTTTTTTTTTTTTGATTTCAGCTAAAATTACATACGAAATTTCGAGTTCGTAAGGTCAAATTTAGCAGCAAGCATTAGAAATTGGTATTATACCAAATTGATGTATTCATTGTCTTTAGATTGCATAGTTTTTTTGTTATTTTTCAAAATATGGTTTAATCGTTTTATCTATTTTCGTTGCTGCCTATAGTATCCATTCAGCCCAATTAAGGGCACTGAAATTCCTACTCGCGACCATCGATTTAGCAGTAGTGGGTCTCATTCGTTCGGCTATGTGACACTCCATTATAGGCAAAGAGAAATGTGTCTGTATAAACGAAGAATTGTCGAAGATAATCACTTAACCCCTTTGAATTCAATGTAAACAATGTAAACTTTCAAGTGGAGCCATTCGTCAAAGTTACCCCAGAGTAAACGTCTTCATGTAGTGATCATCGGCGATCACTAAATGTCTGATCTTTCTTTGCGCTACGTTCAATGATTTGATTAAAGGAATTTAATATTCTTGCTTTAAATTTCTTTACTTTAAAACAAAACAAGCGAGTAATCGCTAGTGGGCTACGACCCACCATTAAATATCCTACACCAGCCTACATTTCTTCGTAAACTAACGTTTTTTAAAATGGGGCTCTTATCTAAACCATTTTTAAGAGGATTTGTTCTTGACCCGACTCATGCGAACCTTTTGCGGACAGCAGGTTGACCACAAAAAATACAAGATGACAGAATGAATCACTATAATGAAATGTCGATCTATCTTAAGTTCTTCTAGGTATTGCTTATAGTCGCACAAATTTCTACCACGAGTGGCGTAGCATTTAATTATATCTAATACATGTAAAGATTGAAAAATTGAATCATCCTCTTCAAAAATCCCGGAGTATGTTGCTAGCAAAAAATGTGATTAGATTTATGATATATATATATATATAAATTATATAAAATGATGTGAATGAATTGGGTTAATCAATTAAATCTTTATACAGTTTTAAGAGAAGTTAAAATTTCAACTAACTATCGATAGAGTTTTGTCTCATTCGGTCAGCAAAATTCTTACTGAACCGGAGCTATATGCAGAGATTCCAGTCTTATAAACTAATATCAAAGAAAGATTTTGTGACCCCTTCGTGCGTGTTATGAGAACGTGAAGACACGTTTATACACATGGATTTTATAGATATTGAGGTAAAAGTCGTTTGAATTCATTCTGGGTACTTTAGAAAGTATTAGAGGAAAAAATAAACCTAACAAGGATGAATAAAGCGATCGATTTTAAGATTTTTGACCATTAAGCCATATCTGAATAATCTCTTTCAAAAGCAGATTTATTAAGCAACAGAAATATTGATATAAATAATGCAGTGTTTTTAAATACTTAAGTGAAGTCAAGAGCTTTTCACAATTTTTTTTAAATCTTTTCTAAAAATGTAAGTACTCATATGCAACTTAAATAAGAAGAAAAAAGAAGTATCTGCCCTTTGTTTATATCAATATCCGCAACGACTTGGGATACACCCACAAGAAAGTGCACTCTCTTAGTAATAAATTTTCGACCACCTGTCGTGTAAAGGCATATTTTGAAGCGGTCGTGATATGAAGGAATGTTTCCATTCATGAAAAATACTATTTGCGCTTACGAAATGAAAATACAAAATTTAGATGAGATGACACAACTTTTTGTGTCGTACAAAGTAAGACTTATGTGGCCTTTATAAGACAGGGGAAAATTTCCATTGAGATTATTTTATAATGAAGTTGATACAGAGAATAGTGGTATGTCTTATGGTGTATTAGATTACACCACATTGAACTGCTTTTCGAACATTTTCCCTAACAACGATTTTCCTATCAACACTAAAAACTTCTCAAACAATAAAATCTAATATTCGGCATTTCATAAAGAATAATAAATTCTTTGATAAAAAGAGAAGTAGTCCTATTAACTTTAAACCATGTCGGCTTACAGTTTTGGGGAATTCTTTCATATAAGGCTTCCCGTGAAAAGTAAGCATCTATGTGCGAACAAAGGCATACATTTTGATATTTTTACGTGAAACGATGTACGATACTTTTTATAACTCGACTATACTCGTTGTAATTTGTTTTTCGTTAAAGTTTTATGTCGACACTTCGGGGCTTATAAGAACCGTACATCCGATCACGCTGAAATGATACGCACACACCTTAATTTTCGATCAAAATACAATAAAGCAAAGTATGTATGAGATGATAGCCCCACAAAGTGACTGATTATTTTTTCTAAAACGATTTTCCTTGAACCTTTTTATCCCCAAAAAAAGAAGGGCTGCGAGAATAGAAAGCAAATTGTAATAAAAGGAAAAATCAAAAATTATTTACGTTAAAGAACATTTTTAAGTAAGCATTTACCAAAACTTGCAAAATAAATGTTTCTCTTAACTAGAAGGTAATTTTTTAAGTTCATTGTGTAATTAAACTCAAGGGATGACACGTATGGACATCGAAGGTAATATAAGTAATCGGATAAATAATAAATTTTACGGAAAAATCAAAGAAAAGCAAAGCAAAGTAAACTAAGATTTTACTTATATTAGATAAAAAAATTTATAACAAAATATTGTAAATCAGAAAAATTACACAAAGATTTTTTTTTTTTTTTTATATATAATATATAGGAGTGCTTAAGCAAATAATAGGAAAGGATAAGAACTCAGGAATAAAATATTGTCATATAGTACGTCTTCATCCAATATGCTTCGAGTGTATGTGAAGCAATTATTATAATGCTGCCGTCCAGGCCACTCATTATCTTATTAAAATCAAGAATTACTGCCGGTTTCCTTACCATACTTTACGGCGCAATTGTGCGAGGACTACAAATTCTATATCAAAGAATTGAACCAATAGACCAAACGAGAATGTACCAAATAGAAGATTTGGATTGACGCCTATACATGCGTTGCAAGCAGTTAACTGATTAAGTTATCTAATCTGCCACTTGGGTCGCTTAGAAAGAGAAAAAAAAATCCTTTATTTTCTTAACACTAGAACTACCGACAGCTTGCATATGTCCGTTTCCATTATTTCAATCTCCTTTTTTATGAAACTTCCAGAGTTGCAAAAATGGAGATAAGATGCCGAAATCTGACACAAAGCATTCCTTGATCTATTAAAAATCCTGTAGTTAAAAAATGGTTGTAATCTGTCTATATGCACGTCCACAATGCACTAAAATCTAAGATGACCTCGAAGATCGATGATTTTTTCATATTTTCTTTTGATCCCGTAAGGAGAATTGTTTCATATTTTCATTTATAATTTTCAAATCTGTAAAGATATTTCTGAAAATCTGTCATCCGAATGTCCGTGAGAATCACGGTCATGTGGAATTACGATTTTTTCGTTAATTGCGAACATATTACCAAACTGATTGGCACGAAACGAGTGATCGGTCAAACATGCAAGTGATTCTGGCGAGCATTTGGATAATAAGTTTTCCAAAACATCTTTACGAAAGCGAAAATTATAGGCAAAAATGTCAAAATTTTAGTCAGCATTTTACCGAAGTCCTTTAAACTTTTTCTATATTTTGAGAGAGCGTACAGGAAGATCATGGTCAATTTTTAATTTCTTATCTTTAATCGTTTAAAGCCACATTTGAGTCAAATTTCAGCTTTCATCCTCTATATTTGCCACTGAAAATGGGATCGAAATGATCCCTTTTGTTTAGCAAAAATAGATATATTTCATCGGAATCTCGAAAACTGGACCAGGTCGAAACAAAATTTTTTTATAGATATGTGAACATTATTCCATATAAATAGAAAACTTAAACAAATTTTGGAACATTACCAGCGGTGTAACCAGTTTTTTGAGGAGCAAAAATTAGTAAGTAAGAAAAGTATACTCGGTTGAGACCGAATCTTTTATACCCATCACAATGGTGATGGAGCGTTTGAAAATTGAAGAAAATTGAAACGATGGGAAAGTATAAATTTGGATTTTTGTCCCGATTATCTGTTTGTAGTGTATCAGGGGACCAGGAAAACACACAGAGAGCTGTACAGTAGACAGACGGACGAACGGGCGGACATGCTTAAATTGATTCTGAATTTGATGTTGATCGAAAATATATGTACAATATACTATGTTGGATTTCTGAAGCTTCCTTCTAGGGGATGCAACGCATATTCTTCATCATTCTTTCGGTGATGCGTCTAAAAAGGATCAAAGTTATGGACTCGGTAATTCCAGTGTTAGAACAAACTCTTTAATTTTCACCTTTTTTTATACCTATGCGTTACAAACCAAATGAAAATATCATCACATTTTCTACCCTCTGCAGTAATGTGTGTATGTGTAACAGTAACCATGTGCCATAAAAATTAAAATTCTTTAACTAAAAGATAATAATGAAAAAAGATTTCTAAAGTGAAAATTTTCAATCATAAGTAAACATCGTAAAATGCTGTAATACTTCTATGAATCCACTTGAAAACTTTCCTAAGATTTTTATAGATTACGATCAATGAATGGGACGATAAGGTTGTGAACTCCATTTTGCTATATAAGGGCAATTCAATCGTTATATTTATGCAGTTTTCTTTGGTTTGAACATAAAAAATTCAAAAAAAATTATGGCTGGATTATCTGTTACTTTATTTGTGGGTTTGCTTTTAATAGCTGCTTCACGGGCCGACAATCGCGTTGTAGGCGGTGAAAATGCTAAAGAAGGACAATTCCCTTATCAAATTTCATTGAGATACAATAACAGACATATCTGCGGTGGTTCCATAATTACTCCTAATTATGTGCTAACCGCTGCTCATTGTGTGGTTATGCTTAACGAAGATGGTACTTATGAAATGTAAGTAAAGTGAAAATATTGTTTACAATATTGACTTAATAGCAACATTTTTGTTTGATTTTGTTTATATCACGTCAGTCCATCATCCGAGAGTTTCTCTATACAAGCTGGCTCCATTAATCGTTTAGAAGGCGGTGTTGTGAAGCAAGTCGAAAAACTCATTGTCCACGAGGAATACAAGAGTCCCTTCAATGATTTAGCTCTATTGAAATTGGAATCGCCTTTGACTTTCACGGATAAAATAAAATCGATTAGCTTGGCTAAAGCTGAAGTACCTGAAGGCACCAAGGTCATCATTTCCGGATGGGGTCTCTTGAAGACCGAAGAAGACGAAGCACCAATTACTTTGCAATGGAATACATTGAAATCTATATCTAGAAAACAATGCTTTGTTTCCATTTTCATATCTTCAGAATCTTTGATCTGTTTGGCTCATAGCGTTGGCCATGGTGCTTGCATGGGTGATTCCGGTGGTCCAGCTGCCTACAATAACGAATTGGTGGGTGTTGCCGGTTTCGTTATTGGCGGCTGTGGCACTTCTAAGCCCGATGGCTACGCTAAAGTGTCTTACCATTTGGATTGGATTAAGAATAACTCTGATTTGTAACAGAATGAAAAAGTTTTCAAAAGCGGAAAATAATCAACAATTGCAGTAAAAAAAAAAAAAATAAAAAAAATCAAAATCAAAATCAAAATCTAGTTTTTCTCAATTGATCATAAATCAAAAGCAAATGCTTTAAGATAATAAATAATCATTCATTTAGAAATTTTCGATTAGATATCAACTAAACATATAAATAGTTGAAATTTTATAAATTGGGATTCAGTTTAAAACTTATATGTTATGGCAAAATTCGCTTTCTTAGTTATTGTGTCGGTAGTTTCTTTGATCAGCACCGAAGGAACATCCGCCACACGTGTTGTAGGCGGCGAGACTGCAACAGAGAGTCAATTTCCCTATCAAATTTCATTGAGGCGAAATGGTTTGCATTCCTGTGGTGGTTCAATAATAACAAAAAATGTCGTTTTAACTGCCGCTCATTGTGTGGGTTATGATGACGATGACGGAAACTACACTCTGTAAGTAGCTTTTCGTTTTAAGCCGTAGCAAGTACCAATCTCCAAATTGTCCTACAGTCACGACCCGAAGACATTAACCATACGCGCTGGTTCCATTGATCGCTTTATGGGTGGTGTACTCGTTCGAGTTGTCGAAATTATTGCTCATGAAAATTATGGCAACTTTTTGAATGATGTTGCACTACTGCGTCTCGAAGATCCTTTAATTTTCTCAAAGCTTATTCAGCCGATACCGTTAGCTTCTATTGAGGTTCCGCCTGGTGAGAATATAGTGATTTCTGGCTGGGGTCGATTAGAACACGGCGGTGACATTCCTCGGTATCTGCAATGGAACACCTTATCAGTTCTCTCACGTAGTGATTGTAAGGATCGTATACCCTATGATACTGATGCTATTATTTGTTTGGATCATGACGTTGATAACGGTGCCTGTCATGGTGACTCTGGCGGACCTGCTACATATAACGGTGAAGTTGTAGGCGTTGCTGGCTTCGTTACCGGCGGATGTGGTTCTTCGTACCCAGATGGCTATGCTAAAGTTTATTATCATGTTGATTGGATCAAAAAACATTCGAATTTGTAAAGAAATGCGTAATTAAAATAAAAGAAGATTTTTATCTTTTCTAATTCAAAGATAAGCAATTAAAGCTTATATTAATCCCAGTAGTATTTGAAACTTTGTTACAACTAAATGTTGTTAGGTGCCAGTAAGTGGTTAGCCCTGGATCCATGTACATAAGCGGAAAAGTGTATAGTAGTCGAAACTGTGGGTGTTTCAAGATGGATCAAATTTACCAATAATCGCTCGAAGTACTATGCAATAAATGGTCGCCTGTTTTTACGGAAGACCTAGTCATGTGTTAACATTGTCTTAGAGGAACGCAATACAATCAATTCTGAATTGTTGCGCTACCATTTAAATACCCAAAAAATCGAATTGATGGGTCATATCTACAGCCCTGATTTGGCAGCCAATAAATTCGTTCCGCGTCAAAGCACCACATTGTACCGTTCAAAAACTATGTCTTCCAGGTGTACCAAGTAAACATGGAAAACGTTGCGACGTATTCAAAAGTGTGGTGCCCCACGTACTAGGTTCGCATAAAAAGCCGAACAGAATTTCAATATTATTGCGAATGTCGGTTCAAAACTCACATTTACTTCTCACCTACTTCAAATGAACAGTTTTTTGTATTTGGTGGTATAATTTAATAGCAGAATTGTTAAATCAACATAAAAGCGTAAAACGTAAGACATGCATTAAAATTTTTGAAGATTTATCTGCTATAGATTATAACTAATGAGCATAAGGCAAGTCTTTAATTCCTTTTCAAAAATAATTGTGCTCTCAGCTTACATAGTATTGTGGGCGCGTCTTTCGAACAATTTGACCAATTTCAATACCAAGCCGCGAGCAAACACTTCTCATGGTTCTGCGAAACTTGAAGTCAATAGCTTCAGTTTCGATGCCCGAGGAATGTTCACAACAAACATTATACCGCTGTATAGACGCAAAGACGGACGGACGGACATGCCTGAATTGATATAGAATTTATTGCTGATCAAAAATACGTATACTCTGGGGGATCTGTGATCCTTATTGCTGGGCCTTGTAAACATTTTGACAAATTGAATATGCCGCTCATTTTTCGATGATCGAAATAAAAATATGTAAAATAAATAAAGCCGCAATACATTTATAGTACATATAAAATACATAAAATAGGCCGAACTAAAGCCAAATACTTTAATTTGCATTCTATAGGCACTATAATAATCTGATTATTTTAAACCAATTGTAAATAATAGTAAAGCATAAAAATAATTTCTAGAAAACTTTAAAATCCCTTATGATAGTGAAAATTTTATTTTGTGTATTGACATTATTTCAAAAAATATCTCGAACCCCTATTGTGCAGCTTATTGCTGGGCTTAATGCTATTCATACATAATCAAAAAAAAACATATATTGTTGTTTTTTTTTTTTTTTTTTTTTGTAATAAAAAAAGAAAAAATAAATAAATAAAATCAACGAAAAATGGAAAACATGGAAAAAAAACCAAAAACATGATTCGATAGATTGTATTCTTTCAAATTGTTTGGTGGAAGCCACATGCCACCAACGATTTCAGTATACGCCCACTGTCTAATTAAACTGGTCTTAATAACCGTATCGTATATAAGCGCTTGTAGAAGGCGAACTCGTAAAATGATTTTGATGATAACTTCACAGAACAGCCTAGGCAGCTTGAATAGAATGATTTTTACTCATAGTTGATATCAATAAATCGATTCTACCGCACTTGATTTGCAATTATTTACTTTGAAATATTGTTTATCTAGAAAAGTTTGTCACATTTGCCAACACATCTAATTCAGCTAAGTACGTAATACGTGGAATAGAGCAGTCATAAAGTTCAGAAAACAATCGCATCATTAGGTGTCCTTGCGAACTATATACATATTTAGATATTTTCGTTTATGTTGACGAAATGCAGACTCACTGAAGAGCGCCTGTACGTTCATTATGTCAAAGCGCGTGCAACATCCAGGAGGAAGTTTCACTGAGCTCCAAAATCATATGCATTTAAGGATGTCTATCTATTCGACTGACTGTCTGTTTGTTGGATGTCTGTGGTAAACCTTTTCCTAGTCGCAAAAATAAAGACAACGACTTCAAATTTTACAATAACACTGGAAGTTCTTGGAGGAAGATCGGTATTGAAAATGTTCCAAATTGGCGCAAGGGCACGGCCATTGTGTATTACACATTAAGACCCCTTCCCCATACCATGTCGTTTGCTCACTACGCCCTACCCATAAGAAAAGAATTGCAAGTACATTCTACAAAATTGAAAAAAATCACAACTACACCTACACCTAATATTACAGGGTATGAAAATTTCGTTTGCTCGCTTATCTCTTTAGTCTTTTTTAAGCAAGAAGTCGGTGGCTATAAAAGATTCGGTTATAGCCGAATATAATTTTCTCGCCTATGTACTTAACGAAAAAGGTCCCTAGAGCGGTGGATCTATTTCGTCCATTCCCATATGTGATATCTTGCTTAACGAATACAAGCCTATGAGCAAGCGTTATAAAAAGATAAATGGGCAGACAGATATAAAATTGGAATATGGTACGTATATTTTTCAATCGATTCCGAGGACAAAGCAGGGCATACATAAGCAAACATCAACGGAAGTTTCGACCCACATATGGGTTGAAAAAGCGCTGTAAGGCCAATGAGAACGCGCATGATTTTTAAATGATCGACCAGTTTGTCTCACAAATATGCACTGGGCAATTCGCAACTGTTAGCCATAGTTTTAAGTTGGTGTGATAATTTGACTTAATAACGGCAGTCGAATTATTTTTAAAGAATTGAAGAAAAAAACCCGTAAATAAATTTTGCTGCCAAAGGAAATGGGAAAAATTAGAGAATATTGGGTCGATAGATTACCATCTCGCATATAATAATGGGTCCTATTGAAAAGTCTCCGCGGTTTTTTCTGCTGTGTCGAGCTTCCCCTTGCAGCTTGCTCTCTTCAAATGATTCCAAACTGTCATGTGGTTGATGTTTAGTACCTCCGCTATTCCCTGGCAGCTTCCATGCCGGTCTCGCTGCACCAGTTACAAGATTTCGTTCACTTTTTCAGTGACTGCGAGGTGCATCTTTGAACGGAATGGAATCAAGTAAACCCCCCCTGGCTATTCGCCCACTCACAGCATTCTCATCGTACACTTCATAATTTTTTTTTTCCACTCTTTTTTATTTTTTTTTTATAGTAGAAAAGCATCACACAGCTTGTTTCTTCACATATTTCACTAATTTTCAAGTCAATATAATTTTTTACTGAAATGTCACCTTTGAGGTACAAGTTCGTTATTGTTGTCCGATATATAGACACCAACCAGACTATCTAGTGGCAAAAAACCGCGGAGAACTTGCAATTTGACCTAATATATCCAAGGAAGCGGACAATTCCTTGAGGATTACTTGTAATATTATTCTTATATCTCAGAGCTATGTTAAAAGTATTACTTCTTAGTTCAAAACACATCCATGGAATTAGCTCGTAATTGAAAACAAGTTTGTGAACTTTTCACTAATTAGACTAAAAAAGGAGTAGACACGCAGATGCATTGCTCGACTGTATTCTTTCTACTTTGGATATGTTTATGGACAATGCTAAAAGCGAGCAAGAAATGGCATAATCTTTGGATTCCTATCACATATATTAAAAATGTTATTATTTACTTGTAAGGTGCTAATCAAATTTGCTCAAATGTGTTTCAATATGGAATCCGAGCTGCAATTCGATACCTAATTGACAAAAATCTTATGAAGTCGTTGGAATAGTCTGTTAAGAGAACTGGTCACTGGTATAGGCTTATGATCTTATTGAAAGATTTCTTCGCAGGAGTAATTCTCGGACTAAGATTCTAAATGATTGTAAAAAATATTTATTTCTTTGCATTTGTAAAATATGTGCAATGCGTTGGGAGTTCTTGTGTTAATTTTGTACAGCAACAGTGCCATAAAATGTTTTTGCTTCTTTTTTGTTGTCTTATCGTGTCATATACGAGAACCGCAACATATGAATAGCTATTAAACTTAAATTTCATCCAAGTTCCATAAGTAATCATTACACGTCTTTATCCATTCATGTGACATATACAATCAAACGACGCGATAAGCATAGGTTTCCCAGTTGTTTGCGTTATTATGGTTTGCTTTTAACCGTCTATTATGTAATTAAGACCAATTTACTCATACTTTGCAATTATCACAGATTGAAAAATATCTAAATATTTACAGTGCAGTTTAACTGAGTAAATTTAAAGGTTGACCTCCTTGCTTTAAGCCATTTTGAGGATATGCTTTGTTTTTTTTTTTTTTTTTTGTTTTTTTAAATCAATAATGAATCCTTTTTTTTTAATACAGCCGGGAAAATGAGTCATTGCAATATGATTGAAAAGCTGTGGCATTTAATAATAGACGTTAAACATTTTACTTAACGCAACTTAGTTCAGGTCCTTAATCAGCATGAAAATTAGGGTTAATTAAGCCAAAGCGTTTTGTAATGAGTCAAACATTGAAACAGATGAAAAAAGAAAGACAAGGGGGGTAATGAATGTTAGTAATAAAATTTCTTAATACTTACGAAATTGCAATAATTTTAAAAGTTTATTTAATGGTTGCTCTAAACACATCCATGCAACATTGACCACAATTTCCAATAAGAGTCGGTTTTGTAAGAGACTAGAAACGCCGCAGCCGTGGTTGCGATTAAATAAATTATATCTCTCATCGATGAAGACCTTTATATATTCAGTTGCAATGTCACATAGAGGAACACGAAGCCGTTGTAAGATACTTCGTCGAAACTATATAATAGATGACCGATCATTTCAAAATGTTCGTTGTGCAAATAGACATTAGTTTGCAATAATTGCTTGCAATCTCATCGCAAATTGAACGACTTGATGCGATTGCTTGACTTTTCTTGCTTTGCTAATAATTCTACGAAAAACTAGTTGTTTATCAATAAGAGTTAAGCGTTCTACGATACCAGTGTATGGCTGTGCCATGTTTTTTTTTTTCGGTTTCAAATTTTTACGTATGCTAAGTTTGCTT